GGTCTTGGAAATCTTTTGTTACATAAAAATTGTGTTTTATACAGTATTTGCTTTAATAGGTTTTGATGTATATATCTTTTAAAGACAATCTTGGTTTTAATGACCTGGACTCAGACAGACCAGGCTGGATTCACTCAGCCAGGAGGCTGCGTGACTCTGGACACAGCATCTCAGTACTCTAGGCAACTCCCAAAAGACTGAGTTGCAGAACAGGTGCTGATCGGCACTGGGAGACGCTAGGTTTTCTTTACTGGGAGTTTTTTATACCAATGATGTCACAGTTCCAGACCAGAAAAAAAAGTCAACCACAATTCCAGTATTCCTCGCAAATTTCAGTAAACAAATTCATCCTTATGTTCCACCTACAATTCCTCAAAGCTGAATATTTAAACCATCTCAGATTATTTATACTAGAAGCAGAAAGTAGCTAGTTTCCATTCTCTATAGAAAAAAAAACAAAACTAAACAAACCCAAACCATCATGCACCACCCATGAAGTTACCTCTGTTTATTTTTAGGCTAATGTGATCTGAGTTTTTTACTCAAAGCTTCCATTTTTTCCAACCTTTAAATCATCCATTCAACTCTAAATCCTGTTCATTCAACATGTGGCTCTTCCAAATGAACATAGTACTCTAGTAGTTTTACCAAGGCCAAATGTGATAAGAGTTCCAATTTCTGTATAGATCATAGAAATGCCAGGGCTGAAAACGGCCTTTGAGATTATTTAATTCAATCCCCACATTTTACAGCTGTGGGAACTGACAGCCAAAACAGTTAAATGTCTGGCCTGTTACACAGGCTACTAGAGGCAAATCTGTGACTTAGAACCAAAGTCTCAGGGCTCATGTTCTTCCCACTATAACTTACTGCTCTCAAACGCAAAAACAAAGGCACAAAACACACTGCTATGTAGATGACAGCCAACTGAGCCGGAACACAAGGGACTCCTTCCTCTGGAGTCCCATTCCAATGGCTCATCATGGCACAGAGTCATCAGATCTTCCTCCTACCCAAGTGGAGAGGAAACTCTGCCTCCCTTGGTCCCAACAAGCCGGAGGGGCTTTGAATATGGGTCCAGTTATATACTGACTCTCTGTCTTTGAAGGACAAGTTTCGTTAAATTTGGTGAGATTCATAGGTTCATTTACAGTCTGATCACAGCAATGGGCAACAGTCGACCATCTGAGATTTGAAGAAAGTACCTCAAGTCTTTCCTGATTCCTTCTCTCCAAGAGCTAGTGAGGCACCCCAACATTTGGTAAGTATTTTTAAAAATGCTCATTTATGTACATGGCTTCTCCAATAGAAATGAAAGCTTCTTGAGGACAGGAATCATTTCATTTTTGTCTTTGTATCTTTACCTGCCTGGAACACAGTACATGCTTAACAAATGATTGTTTGATGCTGAAAACATATCTGAATGAAATGAAATGCTCAGGAAGCATTTCCAACTCATGTTCACTTCAGGAATATTATGTATAATGAACTATGTTTGGCTCTGGGCATGCAAAGATTAAACATACATATATGCATGTTACATATGTACATACATACACATAAACACTCATTATATTATGTACGTATGCATGTATGTGTGTCTCTTTCCTCAAGGAGCTACAAATCTGATAGGAAAGAATAATGCAGAATCTTCCTTTTTTTATCAGCTGCTCTGCTTGGATTTGCCTCCTAGAACAACATACTTTCCCCCAGGATAAGCAGGGAGGAAAAGGCAGGGAGTAGAATAACCATTTACAGTATCTGATGCCTATTATGTGCCAGGCGCTGTGCTAAGTGCTTTATAGATTTTCTCATTTGATCCTCATCATAATCCTGAGAGATAGGTGTTATTATTGAGGAAACTGAAGGCAAACATAGGCTCAGTGACTTGGCCAGGGTCACACAGTTAGTAAGTGTGTGAGATCACATTTGAATGCAGACAGGTCTTCCTGATGTCAAGTCCAGCACTATCCACTGAACCACCTAGCTGCCCATCTCCAGAAAAATATAATTATGGAGATTGTTTCAGCTTTGGGAGTCAACACTTTCTCAGCATCTTCAGTTGTCTCTGTCCTGTTGGAGGGCTGAGCAAAAAACTCCTCTAAATGCCTCCCTTTCTAGGGAGCTCTGAATTTCCAACTCTCTTCATTTTCCATCAGCTGCTCTGCTCAGTTCTGAATTAGCATTAGCTAGATGCTCTGGCACTCCCTTCCTCCTTTGGTCTTTCCCTAGTAGACAGTAAGCTCTTTGAGGACCGGGACTGGCTTTCTTTTTCTTATTTGTATCCCCAGTACTTAGCACAGAGCCTGGCACACAGTAGATGCTCAATAAATGTTCACTATTATTAATAATTACAGAACTGATAATGATAAACAAATGCTGAGTGAAGGCCAGGGTCATGGGACATGAAAAATGGGAACCACCATCTAGCTAAGTGATTAAGGAAGACTTCATGAAAAAGGTGACATCAGATGGACCTTCGGGACTCCTCCAACATAACAAATGCTTTTTATTCCCAAATAATTTTATGATTTTTTTCCCCTCTTAGGTGTGTTATAACCGATGTATATTTCTCTTTTATACTTCTTTCTTTTGATTTTGGACCTTTTCTCTATCTTGAAGCTTATTTTGATCAAAATCTCCTTTTTAGATCTTGGCAAATTCCCTCACTATTCTAAACTTCAAGTCATAAAAGGAACCTAGGGAAACCTATGCAAGTAGAAAGTGACCAGCACACAACACACACACACACACACACACACACACACACACACACACACACACACACACTCTCTCTCTCTCTCTCTCTCTCTCTCACTCACTCTCTCTCTCTGCTAGGGCTTTCTTTGTTAATAAAAAATTGAGTAAATCTCTTTAGAACAAATTATGTGGAGATGAACAATTACATGCTGACCATAGCTAGATATATGATTTTTTTGAGGTCAATTTATCTTAACTTGGAATACTCAACATTTTATGAATTTCTGTTAAAAGTAAGTTTCTATCATAATAGCTAATACAAGACATATAATTAGTATAGATAACTACATGGTGTCATAGTATGCAACTCTCATGGTATAAGGTGCTAGGTCCCTTTCCATTGTTCTTAGCCTAATACTAACTACAAATTTTACCTCAATCTCCTTCATTCTGTACTGTGAAATCTTCTCAAGAATGTAAATCCTTTTAAAAAAAAAATTTAGGAGAGGCAGATCATGTGACCTGCAGGACATAATATGTGATCCCTAGAAATATAGTTAAATAGTAATATTTTCTAGAGCTGAATTTTAAAAGTATTCTTGAAGGTGGCAACAAGTCAACGTAAATCACTGAGAGGTAACATATATTATTATCAGTTATGTAACATCCCTGTACTGAACATACTAAACTTGTTTTCTAGTCTCCCTGAAATTTCACTTGTATGAGCAAAGTGTTCTAGAAGTACCAACTTAGAAGCACTGTACTTCAGTAAAAAAGATTTTTTTTTGAAACAAAAGGATACCCAGTGGAAGGAAATATGAAAAAGCAGCACATTAAGATCTTCCTACGTCCTGAAATGACTTTCCTATATTAGGCATGCCTAAGTTGTCATTTCTTATCAGTTACCAAAACCATTCCCAGGATCACAGGATTTTAGATTGGGATAGGACCTCAGAGGCAAACTAGTGCAACTAACTCAATTTACAAATTAGGAAATAGAAGCCAAGGAGCTTAATGGACTTGCCCAAAGTCATGCAGGTAATAAGCAACACAGCTAAGATTCTAACCCAGGTCTTTCTGAGTCCAGTCAGTGCTCTTTCCATAACCCTGCCTAGTCTAATGGAAGAATAAAAAAGATAAAATGAATCGGATCCTCTTCCCTTTCCATGAATCTTACACTTTTTTGGGGGGGGGGGGGAGGTGAGGCAAGTGGGAATTTTTCCAGTAGATGACAGGCACTCAGACGCACCTTTAAAGTTAAAATATTTGAGTGGATGGATGACAATCATAGGCTGATCTGTATGCCTCTGGTTCTATAGCAGGGAAAGAATAAGCCCTGAAGAAAAAATAATGGCTATCCTTCGGGAGGAAGAAACCCACCCCAACTCAAATACAGCAACAAGTGCAGGTAATGCAAAGCCAAGTGGACATGAAGCTCCTGCTTGGTCCGGCACAAACTTTCCTAAGAAAAGTTCTACACCTGGGCAAGGATCACTAAGAACAGCTTCTATGGAGCCAAAAGGAGAAGGAAAGGGCTGAACAAGGGCTCCTGGACGCTCCTTGCCTAACACACAGAGACAGAGAGAGAGATGGAGAGGGCAGGGTCACAGGCTCCCGGGGGGGCCAAGGAAGCCCCCCCCCAAAGTTGCACAGCAGGGCCAATAACTGGTTTAATTTTCAGTGGGGGAGGGGGGGCACAGATGTTCCAGATGATAGATCTGCCCCTGCACTTGAGCCAGCAAAGTCAGGCGCTCCTCCAACAGCGGAGAGATGGATAGGAGGCTGGAAGAAGGGAACAAGCATTTATGAAGCGCCTGCTGTGTGCCAGGACCAGGAAAAGCGCTTTGCAATCCGATTGGACGCCTGGCTAGCAGGATTTGCATGAGGAAGGCTGAGGCTGAGGCAGAGGCGGCCCGGGCTCTCGCCTCGTCCGGCAGGCCTCCGGCCCAGGAGGACCCCAGTGACCCCCGACCTTGGGCCGCGGCCCCGCGGGCTCGGCCTGGTCCCGGTCCCGGCCCCGCTCCCGGCTGCAGCCTCCTCCCCCCCTACCCCGGCTCCTCCTCCCACACCTGGAGCGGACCCACCCGAGGCACATCCGCCCCCTCCCGGCCCGGGCGACCGAGGCCTGCCCCCGGCCGGCGCCGCCACTTCCTGGACGGCGGCCCCGGGGAGGGAGGCCGGAGGCCGGCAGGGAGGCCCGCGCCCGGGCGGCCTCGACGAGCCCGCGGGAGGCCGCTCGCGTCCAGTCACCTCCCGACGCCCGCAGGGCCCAGCGGGCTCCCGGGCCCGGGCGCACCTACCCTCGTCCTCCGGGGCGCCGCGAGGCCGAGGCCGGCAGGGCAGCCCTTCCCTCGGAGGTGGCGGCGGCGGCTCGGGAGCTGACTCCACTTCCCACCTCCGGAGCCTCTTCAACTCCCGGATCAATTCACTCCGGCAACGCCGGAAGGAGCCGAGAGGAACCAGGCGTTGTCCGGAATCCTGCCCAGCCGGAGCCGCGCGCGGGCCGATGGGGGCTCGTAGTCTCTGCCATCGGCCCTGCCCACAGCCTCGAACCCGCATCGGACTACAACACCCAGCGGCCCCTGCGCGCGGCTCCCGGAGATGGGTGGGGACGGCGCGGACCAATCGTCGAGGATCTCTCGGCTCCCCTGGGCGGGGCTGGGAGGAAGGGAGGGTGCGCTGGGGAGCGGAGAGAAGGGGAGGAGTCTTGGCTCACCTGGCCCAATCAGGGAGGGCGGTCGGCTCGGGCTTGGGATCGGGCGGGGGGTGAGGGGGCGGAGGAGGAGGAGGAGGCTGGTGCACGCCTCGGGTAGAACCTGGGGTGGCTCCAGGCTCTGCGGGAGGCGCGTGCTAGGAAGGAGCCCCAGGGTGAGCGTGGGGCGGAGGGCACAGGAGCTCTGGGCGACTTGCCCCAACCGGAGAAGCTGCAGCAGCTGCCCGGGCGGCGGGAAGCTGTCATTGCCCAACTCCAGCACCTTTCCAGGGAGGGGCAGGGGCCGCTGAGCTGGGGGAGGTGGAGGCACGAGGACGGGGTGGCAGAAGGGGACAGGAGCATCCCCTTCTTCCCTCCCGCTGTAGTCTCCCTCCCAAATCTAGAGCCAGGAGGGCTGGGGCAGCAGGTGCAGATGTCGGGGCAGCAGGTGTGGGAGCAACCGGTGAAACAATAGGAGTCGGAGGTGGGAGACTCGGGGAAAGTTGGGGGTGGGGTGGAGCGGGAAGATAGCGAGAGGCGGCAGAAGCTGAAGCAGCCGGCGCCGGAAAGGTAAGAGAGGCCGGAGGGGGACGAGCTGCAGCAGCAGCATCCGCAGCTGGAGTAAGCACGGGCGCATCAGGAGGAGGAGGAGGAGGAGGAGGAGCGGCGGCGATGGCAGCTTAATTTGGCACCCGGAGGAGGCGGAGTTTCCGCAGCAGTGAGAGCAGAAGGCGTTGCTGAAGCAGTCGCTGCGCTGGCCGGAGCCGGAGCAGGAGCTGAGCCGGAGCAGGAGCCCGAGCTGGAGCTGGAGGGAGTCTGTGTGTGTGTGTGCTTCGCTGGAGACGGAGCAGCAGCATCTCTTCTGGAGGGTTTGGGAGCGTGTGAAGGCAAGGTAAGCCGGCTGCGCTGCTTTGACGAGCATTCCCAACGCAGGCTGACTTTGTTGCCTACTGGGAAAATTCCTCCACTTACTGTTTGTAGCAGATTTTAAAGTACCAGGTTTTTTTCCCCCCTACGTAGGTTGCAAACTCTTTTCAATGAAAGATACATTTTACACTTAGGAAAGAGGGTGGAGAGGGAATGTGATTCATTTGAACCGCCTTTGGAAAGAGCATGATGCGTATATCTGAAGAATTTGGTGATATTCGAATCGCTTGGGTTTTTTTTTCCCCCTCTGAGGCCCCCCCCCCCCCCCCCCCCCCGTGCCTGAAATAGACCGGTTTCGAATCCGTTGAATTAGGTCTGTATTGGAGTACTGGCGTTTTGCTTTAGATTTAGAATTACATAAGAACTCCTTTATTATGAAAACAAGTTTTAAATTCAGAGCAAGGTCCTCTCTCCCTATCTTTGGTTCATTAGCATCCGTGTATTTCCCTTTTCTGCCACAGAGAAGGATGTCTATGATTTGCTTCAGAAACATTAAGCAAAGGGAGGTTTGCATGAATAATCCAAAGGTTGGATGATGGAGCCTCTCAGGGGAATAACTTTGGTCAACAAGGACCAGATCAAAAAGCTGTTGAGGCTGAATGGAGGATTAGCTTTCTATTGCCTGGTTCATAAATGGGAACAAAAACCTTGCTTAATATCCTCCCATCCAACATATAGTACTCTCCATTAATTGCCTTTCCTACGTACACCTCTCCACGGTACAGATAGGTATTGGATGGGTCAGGTGAATGTTTGCACATTTCAAAATTCCTTAAAGGTAAAAGCAAGAATTCCAAAATGTCGTGGTCTATTAGGTATCAATGTGGTGATAACGACCTGTGGGACACACTTAGAAGTCATATAGTCACCTGAGACAGTCTCTATTCATCATGTTAAAACTTTTAAGCAATGTTCTGACTTCACTTTGAATGCGGTTGAATAATTTAAGATGCTGTTTTCATGCCAGGTGATGAAAGCTACTATAAACCTGAGTGAGCTTTTCGTGACTGTAAGACAACAATCTAGTCTTTTTACGAAAATACAGAAGTTCATTTGCCTGTTTTGTGGGATTTTTCAGAGCAAAAGAGGTCATAGTGTGTCTTTTTTTTTTTTATTAAAATAGCATATTATAGCATCCCTTTGTGCTAGAATGTGTTTATCATGATGGCATCTTATGGTACAGAGATGCTTCTCAGAATAGGGTACCAAAGACAATTGACTCATGTTGAAATATAATCTTTAGTGATTGTTTACTACAATTTTATTTTCCATTCTCACACTTCGTTGGTTTCCTGCTGGCTTTCTGCTTGCTTATTGCTGGCTTTCTTAGGCTATTGTTTTTTATTTCTATTTTTAAAAAAATACCAAGTTGTAGTACCATTAAAACAGTCTCAGAGTCATTCCTTTGGTAGTGTGAAGTTCATTGCTAATGAGTGTTTGACAACCCAAGTGAATCAAGGATGAGCAAGGAGTTCTTATCTGTGTACAACACCAATAAATATATAAATAAATAAAGGGTTAGAAAAAGCTGTGTTCACATTGTCCCTGAGGCAATCAGGTAAGTGCCAGATGTGACCAGCTTTTTTATGAAGAAGAAACAGTGGTGGTTGACCTATACTGCTACTACCCTTGGTCAGATTCTGCCCTGGCTGCACTATGGCAGGTATTCTGTCTTCATTCTGAGTGTGACTCTCTCCCTAGGAAAATGTCTTTTTTTTTTTTTTTGTACCTTTTTGCTGTGGAGAGACGGAGGAGAATTTGGGTTAAGTGGAGTAAGGCTTGAAAACTGATGTATTTATGGGAAGGTCTCCTGCCCACAGCCACATGAAAAGTGATTTATAGAGAAAATTCTTTCTTTCTGGATCCCTTTGGGAGTCAGGCTTTCCTTTTCAAAACTTCAAATTTTCTCTGAATGTCTGTGCTTATCCAGTTCTTTGGTATGTGGAACCATACTTTCTGAGTTAGCATCTTGGGCTCTGTGACCCTGATTCTTTTCCTTCATCTCTCCTGTCATTATTTTCCCCCTGTAACCCTCAGTCCTAATAGAAGAAATGATCTGGGAAGTCTTACTTGATAAAAGATTCTGGTTTAATGCATGCCTCTTTCTTTCTCCTTGTATCTTCAGCACCTGGCTCAGTGCCTGGCACATAGTAGATGCATAATTACTTGTTGATTTATTGATTGGAAGGTATTTGACTTGGGACCATTGGACAAAAGCAGAGTACTTTGTGACCCAGGCACATTTATATATCCTTCGGGCTGCCTCCGGTGAGCTAACGCACAGCCAGAATTTCACGCAGGAATACATGAAATACAGAACATTACGGTGTCGATAGCGGTTCTGGTGAAGCTCAGGAAACACCTTCACTTGTGAAGCATATCATAAACAAGAGATTAGGGTGAACGACTGAATCGGATTGCCAAGGCGCCACCTTCAGAGGTTCCCTTGACCTTCTGACTCATAATAAGTTGATGTTGAAATGAAGTCTCTGATCACCAAGACTCCATGTATATACATTATTGATTATATATGGTGAAGAATTGAGAAGGAGGGAATCTCTGATTATATTACGCAAATCACCACCCAGGGTAAAATCCAACCTCTTTTCTTTTGATTTCAGTGCCATAGAATGAACTTATCTGAGGTTAGCATTATGTAGGGTAGCTCAGAAATAAAAATAAACATTTACCAAATGATTTTTTAGAAATCGCCTTTAGAGTTGCCATTTCAGTAGCAAGAAAATATGGTTAATTCCCGTTTACATTTTTTTCTGGCCTTTTTGCCATTTGAAATTCTGAATGCCGACCTTACTGAGCAAAAATAAATACATAGCCTGGATTTATCTTTCCAACAGGAAAATTGTCTGATCTGTTCAACACAAAAGATTGAGACTAAAGCTGACCAAGAGTTTATCCCCTTCTCCGCCCCCCCCCCCCCCCCGTAGATGTGAAGAGAAGGGCCTTGAGAAGGTGGAAAGGAGACCTGCCACCTTTTGTTTTTATTTATTGTTAATGTATCTCACAAGTAATTTTTTTGTCCTTTCTTTGTAATTGCCATTTTCTAGAAGACTGCTTCCCTGGGGGAGACACTTTCCAAAAATGACATTTTCAAGAGAGGATTACTGACATGAAATCATTAGCCTTTGCCCAGGCACAGGTTGTTGAAGAAGGAAAGAAAAGGTTACATGTGTATGTACCCATTCAGACAGTAGAACTTGCTGTTATCTGAACCTTGATGGGCTATAGAAAGAACAAAAAAAAAAAGAAACTTAAAAAATTATATTTTTCTGCCTGAATGGGTGCTCTGGATAAGATGTATGGTGGGGAAAGGAAACAACAGTGATAGTTATTGATTGACAGGGTCACTCCATTGGCTTAATATTTCACTTGATTGGGAAACCTTGCTGGTAGGAGTTGGAAGTAGCTCATTGAAAGCTTTCCACCTCAAAGATAAGCAGGTGGTAGTGGTTTGCATCTTAAAAAAAAATTAAGGAAGAAATGACAGGGCAAGTTTGATCCCAGTTAGGCCAGTAAACTTTTTGGAGAATGCACTTAGTGGGGTTTTAGAAATTTAGAGATGAAGTCTAGAAGTTCACCAGATTCTAAATCTAGAGTTGGAAGGAATCTTAGAAGTCATCTACTCCACTGTTCATTTCTCAGATAAGGAAACTGAGGCCCAAATAGGCAAAGTGATTTCCCCAATATCACATGACTCGTTAAGTAGCGGAACCAGAATTCAGATGCATGTCCTTTCCTTCCAAGCTCAGGGCTCTTTCCACCATCCCATGTTACTGATTTTCAGCAGTTTATGTTGACTAATGAGTGATAACACCCTGCTCCTAAGAATAGAATTCAGAAGGGTTTTGAAAACTGTCATGAAAGTGTCTCTGCCCATTTCATATCCCTTTAAACCTAGGTTTTTACTTCTCCTTTCTTTGCATAACACCACACTTGGGTTTTGGGAAAGGATGATCTTGATTGCTAAGTGGGAGGCCTGTGTAGTATGGGGCAGGTAAGGGAAAAGCATAGCTGAGAAGTTGGAACTTCTATCAGGCAGCAAAAGAGAATAAGCAGAAAATGAATTTTTTGGTAGAAAATTCCTGTTGTCAGGATCTTTTTGGGAGTTGGGCTTTCCTTTTCAAAACCTCAAAGTTTCTCTAAGTTTTGATGTTCATAGTTTCGCAGTAGCCAGCTCCTTCTCAAATATGTGGGAGCAGCCAGGCACTCGGAAAGAACACTCTAAATACGTACTGAATTAGATTTACTAGTGAGTGGAATGTGCGCCTTAGATTCAAGTGTGAAGCCCAGTAAGTGGTAATGAGTTCTGTTGCCTGGCTAAGTCACTGGGTCCCTTTGATAAACAGTGGCAGCAACCTATACAATTATCTTACTAGTCCTACAATGGACCAGCCTTATCAATGAGGGTGTTGTGGAAAAGTGTTTTGTGAATGGGCAAAGTACAACCCTTTTGAGATCAATCAGTAAGTTACGTAAGTATTTGGCTCCCCTAGTCGAAAGGCTGGTTGCCCTTTAGAGCAGAAAAGCCATTGGGGATGAGATTCTTATCTTAACCAGTGCAGTTTTACACTTCACATCTTTCCTAGTTTATGTACATGAAAAACATGTAGAAGGTACGATTTCACCTTCTTGGTGACTTCCAAGTATGAGAACTCTCTCCCACCGGTGCAAATCACAGCCCATCTGTGACTTAGCAGATAACCCTTGCTTGAAATTGCTTGAAGCATAGAGGCTACCAATGTCATGTTGTTGTTTGTCCTTTGTTCTCAAAGAGGACCAGTGACATCAGGAGGGGGATGTCTTGACTTGCAAGTGAGTTGGGTTTGAGTGAGGCAAAGTCATCAGCCTCACTCTGTCCTCCAGAGTCATCACAACCAAGCAGCACGACACAGGACCAGGATGACTGACAGTGGCCCTGGATGCAGTGGGAAACCTCAGCCTTTTTAA